GCAGTGTCCAGCTGGTACGTCTGTTGTGGTGGGATGGGGGAAAGAAGAGGTATAGGGGGGCGGGGGGCAGATTGAGGCCCCTGTGGTGAAGGAGGGAGAGGAGGCTGGGGCTGGCAAGGTGGGGTGCAGGATGGAGCCATGGCTTGTGGGGGGTGGGTGGCTCCCACCCTGCACACACTGTGGGATGGCAAGGGGGGGTGTGCCCCTGGATCTGTGCAAGGTGGGGTGGCTTGCCCCTGCAGGCTGGGGCCAGGGCTGTGCTGGGCTCTTCCTGGGGCAGGGGCTGGGCCGGGCTGTACTCGGGGTGGGGCAGGCGGCGGCGTTTGGGGAGGGGGGTGGGGGAGCCTGCAGCCACCCCAAAATTTACAGCTTTCTGCTTCCGGTACTGCTGCCTGCCCTGCCCACAACGCAGCCTGCAACAGCACCCCCCTCCCTACCCCCATGCCCTTCCAGGGTGTATGCAGGGTGGGAGCCACTCCCACCTCGCTCCGCCTGGGCAGCGCCTGCCCCAGCCCCTGCCTCACTGTCTCCATCACCACTGGGGCCTTGATCTGCCTCCCCACACCCCTTCCATCACAACAGACTTACCAGCTGGATGCAGCTCTCTACCCTGCTTGGCTGTGTTCCTGCTTGCCTATGTGCTGTGCTGCAGCTGTATGCATGTACAGGACATTTATTGGCTGTGGCAGGCAAAAAAGCCAATTTCGAAAAGGCAGTTTTCTTTCTATCGGTGCCAATCCGATATCAGACTGGCATATCGGTGCATCTGTAGCCCTTAACTCTCTCTAAAAATGCAAAGTTTCCGGAAGTTAATAGGGGATTCTTGGGGGTGGAAGAGATCTGGGCAAGGAGGAGGATTCTGGACATAAATGCAAAGAGGGAGGGGGAATAGAAACAGAAAACAAATATTTTGAGCAGACTATTCCAGAAGTCTTGAGGAATAAGATTCTGAGTATAGCCTATCCATTCATTTGAGATCTAGTGAGGAAATAGTATGGTAGAAGGGAAAACCTGTCATGGCAGCTGGCTTGCCAGGCTGTAAAAGAGACCTTGTTTAGAAATATTTTAATGAAGGTTATATCAAACAACAAGAATGCATTTTTGTTGAAAACAATGATTAAATTGAGGCTTTCTCACCAGTGATTTAAATCATGACTTGGATCATGATTTGAATTGATTTGATTTAAATCAAATCCACCCTGATATTGCATGTGTTCTGTTGCTTCTGTTTGATTTTAAATTGGTCTGACATACATTTTCGGATTTCCCTGCCTCCCCACCCCCCTTAATCAACAACTTTTTAAGATAAATCAAATTTCAATTTGAAATGATTAATTAGCATTTTGAAGGACTTCTGGGAACTGGATGGTTAAGTTTAAATGAGGCAAAGTCAGCTTGTATTATAGTCAAGGCTCTATCTACAAATATGCAGTTGGGCTAGAGTAATGTTTAAAAGGATGAAAGTGAGCATTTGAAGTAAAATGAGTGTGTATCAGAATAGTTTTTTTCCAAAACCTTAAATTAAGTAACTGACCCTTATTGTTAAACATTTTAGGTTAAGAATGACACAAATAGGACCAATTCTTTTCTACAACCTGATAATCTTAAACTCTGTAGATATTCACCTGAGTTAGATGCTGGTTGATGTTCCCTCTGAGTGTGGGGGACTTCTGTTAGGAGATAGTTCAAATAATATTATGGGGAATATTATTTACAAGAAATGTACTAACGTCTTTAATGTTGCAGTTGGATTGTGGTTCTGACAGATCTGTGAGCAGGTTTTAAAGGGATGTAAAACAGTAATAGAATTATAAGAAGGAAGAAAAATAGTCTTTCAGTCTGGTTTTGGCAAGGAGAGTAGGGAAGTGGTAACAATATATCTTGGGTGTAAAGTAATTTAGGTCTTACTGCTTAAGTCTTTTGGAAAGATATTCTGACTTTATCATTTTCTGACAGAAAATTTAGTTGCTTCAATACTAAGCTCTCATCTTAAGCTGCATGTTGACCGCCGTAGAGGATAGACTAGATGTTCTAATAGATGATGATTCTATTTCTATTAATAGTTTTAGAAATTGCCGCGGTAGCTAAGGTAACTAAGGTAACACAAAGTAATGCTGAGTGTTCTGCAGTTAGGGAAATCATATCAATGGTACACAATATCAAAATAAGCATAATGTAACATAGCAAGGTTTGCTCCTTGTACCATTTAAATGAAGGATTGAGTGTAGGAGTTTATGGAAATCTTTAATAATTGAGCTCTGATATGGTCTTGTTTTAAGATAAATGGCTAATGAGGCTTGGAAAAAGTACAGGTTGGATTATTTTTGTGACCTAGGGCTTAGTTCAGAAGTTTGCTAAATAGGCTCTAACCAAAAAGAAAATAAAAATCTACTTGATTTATTCAGATGTCATGCAGAACTATAATTCTTTTTTTAAGGTGACTTGAAGCTAAAATTGTACCTTTCAATTTGCTGTTAAGGTTCTAATCGCTAATAAAACTTCTTAATAAGGCTTTCTTAATCCTGGTTTTTCCTAAAATTGTTTTCTCACTCTTCATCTATCTCCTGAAGGCAAGGTAGCATAGAACCTCATTCAGTGACAGTTGTGCAGCTTAACAGCCTTCCCTTAGTTCACTTCAGGGCCCACCTAAAAGATGCACTTCACCATGTCCTTTGTATGGAATGTATGTTGTACACTCTGTAAAGTTTAAAGTAATTATAAGAGAGAATAGTTGTATATTTTTAGCTTTGAAAAGCGTAAATACATCCAGAGGTTACACAGTGTTGAGATTTTATCCATTGTCAAGTAATTTGGAATAGTTACAGAGGCTCTAGCTAAGTTCCGTCCCCTCCCCAAGTACAATTCTGATCCGCTTCTCCTCCTCCCTGATCTGTACTTTCTGCCCCCTCCCCAGTCTGTTGCTGTGCTAAATACAACAGCTGCCCATGCCACTCTTTGGCATGCATGTCACAGGTTGGCCACCCCGATGTAGGTTATTGACTGTAACATGTCTATAGGTTTAAAAAAGTAAGAGAGTAGGAATGGCCTGTTGCTGCTCTGTATTAGTACAGCATTTAGGAGTTGAACAATCAAACCAGAACACTTAAGAGTGGAGCAGAGTGTTTGAAGTAGAAGTGTAGAGACTTTTCTTGAGGGGTTGCTTTTAAAAATCCAGCCTTGTTCTTTTAATAGCTTGGATCTAAGTATATTTGTATGAAATCAGTAACCCAACAGCAGATAGTTTTAAAGACTTGGTATCTGATGGGATGATCTGAAAAGTCATTCCTAAATTTGGATGGGGGATGTTCAGTTTTTAATCCCTCATTCCATATGCTTGGCAAAAAATTGTGGCTGGTCTTCCAGGACTTCAACAGAGATAGAGTTTGTACTCATACGATCAGTAATACTGTAGGAATTTTATATAAAATGGTTGTGTTACAGTAATATATTGCAGAGCAGGGACTCTCCATTCTTTTTATCCTACAGCCTACCTCCCCCAAGCCCATGTACGTCACCACAGCTTGCATCCCTTGTGGTCCTCTAACTAGCATGCCAGAGGGATGCCCACATGGTGCTGCATCCCCTTAGCCTGGATCTGTTTTGTGACACTTGTTGAGAAATGTTGCTATAGAACAGTGGCTCTCAACCTTTTTTGTACCAGAACCCATTTATAAACATTGATGGCCGGTCCTAACCCAATGCCCCTCACTCCCGACCCATTGCCCACAGGCCCCAGCCCCTCTACCCCTCCCCCAGTTTGTGGGGCAGGAGGTATGTGTGGGGTATGGGGGGCCCCAAACAGCCCCTTGCAGGCTGGAGCTCTGCCAGCCTGCCAGGGAAAAGCCATGGTTCCTCACCTTTTTCTCCTTTAAAGGATAATCCATTTTTAAAGTTTGTTCATGACTTTCATATATTCTTGTGACCCAGTTTTGGGTTGTGACCCACAGGTTGAGAAACAGTGCTATAGAAGACTGGGCGCTAAAGTTCTTTCATGTTTGTACAGTTTTTAATGTAGTTTATATAATACGTGCTTGCTTTTATGTGCATGCATGTAAAGAAATAACATGCATAATCCTATTTATTTTTATATGTAAGTTCAGTGGCTAGGCAGTTTCATATGTGCATTTGTAAAACCCAACTAGCAAAGTTCTTAAATATTGTTACATTTAGCAAAACCTAGCTGGAATCCAAGATGCATGTAATTAGATTACAGCACGCTAAGATTCCTGGAAGTTTGGCAGGTTCAAATTTTGTTAGTAAGAAACTAAACATATAATACTTTTAGGCAGAAGATTGTTCAAATGCTACCAGTGCCCTTCATCTTATGTAAAAATATTCAAGTTGTATAGAATGCCATGGAGTACTTGGTTATTACAAGGCAGGGAAAAGATTGCTCTCAATCTTGGTTTTCCTTTCTTTGGATGCCTTTCTTAATATGCTTGTGTATGGCATGCAGGACGGTGGCTATTCAGGGTATTGTCTATATAGACTACTAGTCTGTTGTCAGATTGCTATTAGAATGATATTTACTTCTTGGTATACTTGCTTCTAGACTACATACAGTAAACAAGGCCAACTGATTCTCTCCTGAAAGCATGCATTTAATTTTTGCAAATGTTTTATGTCAAAAATTTAATTCGGTTTTATGTTAGAAGATGATTAATCAGCTGGCACTTGGGGTTTTTCCCCACATAATATACAAGACCAGTAGCTGGCAACATTTTAAGGCTGTGGGCTGGATCTCATTCGTGTCAGGGTGGGCACTAGGACCCAGCCACAACCACTGCTTTTTCCTGTGATGGCATGCGGAAGTATCCTGCCACTGAATCCCTTTGTCCACAGGCTAGATCTAATGGCTCCATAGGTTGTAGGTTGCCAGCCCCTTTCCAGAAAACAGCTGGCCTTCAACTCGCTTGCTGTACTTATGATTATAACTTAAGCTTTTCTTCACCTGACTTTTTCCAGATTTAATCTGATTCTAATTTTTGTTACATATACAGCCTAATGGACGGTCTCTCCTTGAAGTGTCTGAGGATGAAATAATTCAGACTGCTCGTAAAGAGAATCTGAAGCAGCCACTGGATGCAGAAAAGAAGAATGAGAAGGTCAGTTCCTGATTTGAAACTGCAGTAAACTTTATTTTTTCATATTTCTATGTTTGTAATACCTGAAGACCCTAACCAGGATTGTATATAAGCAGACAGAAGGTTCTCCATGCTATAGAGAGCTTTGATTCAGTTTACTTTAAAAAAAAATCCAGCTGTCGGTTAGAGATATCTAAAATACTCAGAACCCACTTGATTTATGGAATGTTTGCACTTTTTATGAAATAATTTTAAAATGGTGGACAATTACTTCTCTACATAAAAATTTAATATATCTGCAGCATTTTTAATTTCTGTACATGGCTTCCACACATCCTGGGGCAGTGATGTTAAAGATAAGGCCCATAGGCCCAATATAGCCCATGGAGCTACATAATTTGGCCCCCTTGGTGTTGTCTATTGGTCTCAATGTGACCCACAGGAAGTGTCAGGTGTACCAGTTGGCCCTGCCTGCAGTGCCTGTTTCAGCTTGCATCCCAGAGTGGCTGCCATGTGTAGCACAGCTGCATGAGGCTCTGGGCCATGCATTGGCCAGATGAGTTTGACACCCCTACCCTGCAGCTTGAATGGGAGTCATGGGCTTAAGGCTTACAAGATCTGGCCTTTAGATGGTCTTTATATCCTTAATTTCTGAAGACACATACACCATTTTCAAGATTGTGCATGTGGGTTGGTGAACTGACCATTTGTTTGGTGACTATACAAGACTCTTTAAAACTGGAAGAAAGAAAATAGTACTCCCTATTCTATTGTAGGAACAGCAATTTTAAATGCATATACATATAAAAAAAATAGGCATATGGTCAAAACAGGTTTCTGTCTTGGCTCTTTTTGGTCCAAACTGCACCAAATTTCCCATGGGGTTGTACAACTGAAAATGCATGTAAATATCTCCTGGCTTCACTTCTCATGTCAAATAGACTGACATAATGTTCTGATTTAGAGAAGATTGGAAAATATTGGTTCTGGCTACAAGTACATTTTTGCTTTTACTGTTTTTTTTTTCCTTTGCTATCAGTCTAATTAAACTGAAACTGTTTGGAATACAAGTTCATGGTATATATTAAAAATATTTTGTAAATAGGATAAAAGACCATTGTATATCTTTGCCAATTCCTAACTGTTCATGTTTTTCTGGTTTGAGTCTTTAAGTTAGTGAAAATTCCTGTAGAAGTAAATTCTGCAGTAATAATGTTGCATAATAAGAAATGTTCTATTAAGGATTCTAAAAGATGCCAAAGATCTTTGTGTTAAAGGCATTTGGTATGAAATAGTTATTTTTTTTATCTCTCTGGTTCCTTTTTTTTCCACAAAATCTATCAGTCTGACTTTGCCCTGCCATGAACAGAGCACAATGGAGCACTTACTCCTAACCTGTGGTAGGCAACCCCTGGCCTGGTGTGGCACGCAAAGTCATTTTGCTTAGCACTCAGGATTGAGGCTGCACTGCCACAACAAGGATCAGCCCCTTCGTGGCTCCCCAAGTACGCCAACATCTTACACAAGTTGAGGTTGCAGGTGTTTTTGGCATTCTGCCCAAAAATATTGCCAACTTCTGATCTAACCAGTTAGCAAAACTACACAGTCAACCCTGATACAATGATAGTCGCATCCTAACCTGCCAACTTGGTGCTGCTGTAAAGGTTGTTAAAATAACACTTGAGATTCAAGTAAGAGGGCCATGCCCCCTGCTACAGAAGAAGACCGCTCCCCTCCCCCCCCCATACGAAACTGACCACGGCGTAAAATATCTTCTTGATCCCAAATAGGGTGATTGGTGTGAACCTGAGCTGGGGGGTGGGGAAGCCAGGAACCTCAGCTTTACTCCTAGCAGGAGCACTGGGACACCACAGTCAAAATCCCCAACCTTGGCTGCAGCCAATATCCAGTGGTTCTGAGGAAGATTTTTTTGTGGGGGGGAAACCCTAACACATACAGAAGCAAGAGAGGAAAAAATCCTTTCCTGGCCCCATGTGGCAACCAGAAAAGCACACCCATGTGGGAAATGCCCATAGTACAACATAGGCACAGCTACTTCAAGATCATCCCTGACCAGTGCCTGTCCAACCTTCTTGAACACCTCAAGTGATAGTGATGCCACAACTTCCCTAGGCAGTCTGTTTCACTGTTCTCACAGTAAAGAAGCTTTTCCTGATATCCAAATTAAAACCTACTTTGCAACTTCAAGCCATTGGTCTGCATCCTGCTCTCCACAGTAAGAGAAAAAAGGTGTTTTTCCTCATCTTTATAGCAGCCCTACAGATATTGGAAGATGGCTATCACATCTTAAGTGCCTTTCCTGCCAACTGAATATACCTAGCTCCTTCAGTCTCTCCTTTTATGACTCAGCTTCCAAGCCCTTTATCAGTTTTGTCACCTGCCTCTAGATCCTTTGCAGCCTCTCCATGTTCTTGTTAAATGTGGAGCCCAAAACTGCACATAGTACTGTAGATGAGGTCTAACCTGCAACAAATGAAGAAGCACTGTCACTTCCCATGCCTTTCACCTGCTGCATCCCAAAACTGTATTTGCCTTTTGTGCCATTGCATCGTGCAGCACAAAAGACAAATACAGTATTCAATATGTGGTCTACGAAGACACCCAGATCCTTCTCCAGTGTGCTGCTATCCAGCCAGGGATTGCACATTTTTTGACTGGTTTTCCTGAGGTGTAGCACCTTGCATTTATCAACACTGAACTTCATCTAATTAGTTCCAGCCCAGCTTTTCCAGTCTATTGAGATCCTTCTGAATTGTGCTCTCTCTTCCAACATGTTCACAATCCTTTCCAGGTTTTTTTCATTTTTAAATTTACTCAAGAAGCTTTCTATGCCAGTGTCCAAATCATTAATAAACATGTTGAACAGCACTGGCTTCAGGATGGATTCCTGTGAGTCTCTGCACAAATTATTAAAAGGAATGTATAGCTAGAGAGTGTAGAGTTCAGGTATGTGCTGGTACTTTTCAGAACCCTGGACTCTCTTTAAGCTTTTGTGTAGATAATTAGGTAGACAGCCATGTTTGTCACCTGGAGAAATCACCCTCTTTTCATACATGGCGTGTACCATTAATACTTTGTATCTACTGAGTAAAATATTGAAAGCCTTGTCAGAGTGATGTTTCTTTGTGGTTTAGGACAGCAAGTAGCTGTCTTGGAATTAAGTGGTTATTTCATATATAAAAACTGCATGTAAACTAAAAGCTGAGACTTCTGCACCTCAAAATGTATTGTTTTTGCAAAATTTTTATATTTTGTGTGTGGGAAGGGGGTAGGAGGATAGGTTTGGGGTTTTTTTCACTTTTGTCTGCAGAGAGGCCAGTGCATCTGACAGACTTTAGGCTTTTGGTATGTCTGCCAAGTTCTTGACGTTTTGTACAGCTGGTGGCAGAACCAAGATTGGCAGCCTTATGTGCTGCAGAAGGTGATCACTTAAAATGAATAGAGAGCCCTTTGTGAAAGGGCTGACTTCTGTTTTGTATATTCATCTTGTATGTCTTGGCTGTTTTTCAGTTAGTGATGTCATTATGATAGTAACTGTTGCAAACACAGACAGTTTGGCAGGTGGTAAGGAAGACCATTGAATCCCGGTAAACAGTGATAGTAAAGCAAACTTAAAATTTTTGAAGTATTGATTTTTCTTAGTCCTTGTTTTTGGCAGCAGATAATCCCTTTTTTTCAAGGCTTTATTGAATGATAAATATTAGTGTCCAGGACTTCTGCAATAATATTAAAAAAACAAAAAAGGATGATCTCTATGCAAGTTATATATGTGTATATTTAGGCCTCATTTTGCTATTTATATTTGTCATTTGACAGATTTCATTCAGTAATTTGTAGATTACCTTTAGCATATTCCTTCTTTGCTTTTGATAATGTATAGAAACTGAAAGGTTTGGGCATGCAGAAGGATAACAAAGAAGTAAAATAGGTTTTGTTCTGAATTGGTTTTGGTTCTTGGCCTTCCTCTCTCCCCTTCTCCCCTCCCCCACTTGTCCATTACATCTCCCAAGTTCTTTTTAGTCATTGTGTTCCCAGATGATGTCCCCCATTCTGTAGGTGTGGCCTGTGTTTTTCATTCCAAGATGTATACCATACTATATTGATTCTTTTCTTTAAGGGCTTAGTTTTACCAATCTGTTCACATAGCTGTGAGGCCTGTCCTTGTAACTAATTTCAAACATAGATTAAACTGTCATTCCAGTCTATAAATATCTAATTCTTAACCTTCGGCTGACATACATTTTGTAAGTTTCAGGTTAGAATTATTTGATTTCTTTGAAATGAAACTGAGTTCTTGTGTTGTTTTTTTTCTAGTCAAAGAAGAAAAAGAAATCAAAGGGAGATTCTAAAACAGTTCAGGACCTGTCGCGTGTAGATGGAAAGGAAGTTGATGAAGGTACCAAGAGCAAAAAAATGCAGTTGAACTATATGTTGGTCTGTGTGCTATTTATGACTTACATATTTGGGTAAAAATGTAGCTACTTTCTTCCTAAATCTACTCTGTCTCTATGGGTATTTTCTAGCAAATTAAATATTTAAAGATAAAGTTATTGCATGTTGTATATGAAAATCAAGGATGTCTGAGAGAGAAATTTAAGATGAGAGCTTTACAGTTGTGGTACTGCAGTTTGATCTGGGAATGTTTAAATAGGGCATTTTTTGAAAAATATAACTTGATATATTTTAGTAGTCTAGCCTTTATCTTATCCTCCCTGAAGTGTTGTGACTTGTGTAGGGTGCAAGATTGTTAAAAAATAAATAAATAAATAAAAACATCCTCCTACGGTTATCGCGTGCAGAAAAGGACATGTTAAAATCCAAATTGCACCATTTACCTACTACTTGCAAAGTTTAGTTCTATGCTGCTCTTCTCACATTTTTCTCGCCTATTGGTTTTGAGTCTACCATATCTGTAGCCTATAAGCAAATTCAACTAGAACTCAAATTTAATCTTAATTGGTTTAGGTCCAGACTTATGGGAGGGTGGCATATACACGATTAATATTTAGCACTTCTTTACTGTATCTTGCTAATCTAATGATGTTTTTACTTATGGCACTGTTTATAGGAGCCTGGGAAACTAAAATCAGTAACAGAGAGAAACGGCAGCAGCGTAAACGCGATAAAGTATTGACCGACACTGGTTCAGTAGAATCAAATGTCCCTGGGTTGGATGCAGTTACCATATCCCCTGAACAGCTAATACCTACACCATCTCTTCCAGTTGGTCTCAGAAAAAATAAAGGTATGAGAATGAAAATGGGAAGTAGGAAGAAAAACTGAAAACCAAGCAGTGCTTTAGAAATGAAAAAGTTAAGAACTACTTTTAGAAATAGGTGAAAAACAAAACTTATTGTGGGTGATATCTATTATCATAATGGCATCAGCATCACTTCAGTTCTCACAAGCGAAATATGAAGGCATTTGGAATTGATCCTGACCAATAACAGACCTTGGCAAGCAATTGGAGCAAGTGGTGTTACCGTCTTCACCGGGGCATTAAAGTCCACAACAGGAATTGGCTTCAACAGCTTGAAGAGAAAAGTCTGCACAAAGCAAGCAGCTCCCAAACCACCCAGTCATGATGCATACACTTGCAGCCATTGCCACAGATCATGTAAATCTTGATTTGGACTATTCAGTCACATGACACACTGCAAGCCATCTACACCATAGGCTGCGATATCCACAGCCTCTTGCAGACAAAAGGATGTCAATCATATTTGGGAGCCAAAATCCTTAGTGTTGTTAAACAATTGTTATAAGATCCCTGTTGTTGGGTCACTGTTTTTAGGCAGAGAGCAAATGAGAAGGTTTACAATTCAGTACCTCTGGTACCAACTTGTGTGTGGTACCTAGCCTGAATGTCCTGCCCCCTCTGTTTTCTGACTCCACCTGTGGAAGTTCCTTCACTTCTCTATGTAGTAATTTCACGTCTGTATTAAAGTAAAACAAAACCTTTTTTGCTCCCAGTGCTACATCATTTCTTTTTTAGCTAGCGCTGTTAGCTCAAGAAGAGGGGAAAAACTCATTGTCTTATTCACTGCTAGATGAATAACTTCTCTAAGTAGACACTGTGATACCTCAAGATGCCAGCTTGCTTCTAAGCTACTCTGCCTTAGTTGGGAACCAATCATGTGGCTAATTAGGCAGAAAAATTTGTTGAGTGATTTGATAAAGTAGCAGAAAGCTTCAGCTTAGCTTTTCTTAGGTGCTGTGCTGTAGCAAATTCACATTCAGACTTTGACACCTTGGTGCCTTGAATCACTGCTGCTTGTGACTGGTGGCTTCCATCCTGACTGACTATACCATCATTGCCCTTGACTATTGAGTCAGTCATTCTGTTTGTCTCTGTAGGGATGTGGGAAAGAAAGCAACCAAACATTTCAAGAAAAGTCAAGCTGTTAGCTGGGTTATGTACTTAACTGCCATTCATGACCACCTGCCCTATGTTGGTTCAGACCTGGACGTCCTATATTGTGCCACACTATTTCAGATGTTGCCCTAATCCAGGTTAATTTCAAAGGCGTTCAGGTGTATTGGTATCTAAAATCTATGTAAAATAAAAAGAAATACCCAGTTTTAATTTTGCTTCTACATCTTAAGATATTTATATGCTTTGCATATTGTTAAAAAGATAATCCTTTGAAATATATTACAGACAAAGATGTTTTTATATCAGCAGCGAATAGTGACACATACAATAGTTTGTAAAGGGTTTCTCTCCTTGAATTAGGTGATACACTTCTGAATGTTCAAGTTAGCAGCTCTAAACCTGCGAGAGGAGATTCAGCAATTCAACAAGGTAAGAGTTAGACTGCTTGGCATCCTAACTTATTAATTAATTCTGTAACGAAACAGAATTCTGTGTTGTCAGAACATAGGATTCTGAGCTGTACCTTTTGTTTTCAGTGCGTGTTAGGGCTCAGAAAGAAGATATTCACCCAAGAAAACTAGAAACTTTAGTTTGGCATTGTCAAACCTAGACAGTTACTTATTAAGCCTTGTGGTATAACTGACCTAAATTTATGAAAAGTAGTAATTTAGCTAATGGGTGTATGTTGAGTTATTAGAAGTGTCATGGCCAACAGAAGTCTCAATCATTGCTTAAAAGCAGTGTTCCTGTGGAACATTGCTTAAAAAAAAGAAAATGCATGACAAGGATAATGGAATATGATGATAAATGTAAGATGATCATATTGTGCTTTAGGAGTCTAGCTTTTAGGGATCAGAAAGCATTTTTTCCCCACAGCATATAATTTTGCTGCTTGGGTTTTTTTTTTGCTTTTTTCTGAATCATTACGTTGTCCAGCTGGCTATAAGATACTGAATAGGCATAACAGGGACCAGTGCTCTAAAGTGATATCGGTGCCTGGTTGGTTCAGGCTGATACTGATTCTCAACTCCAAAGCTAATCAGAATTCTTTCATAAGTCATATTGGTGAGGACCTTGGGAGCCAGGGGAATAATGAGAAGAATATTAATCTCCCTCTGTGGCACAGAGTATGAATTACATCCTGGAATCATCTGGAGATATCTCACCTATTGGTTCTGTGCCATGTGTGGAACCTGGCATTGCTACTAGTTGACTAAAACAGCCTTAATTTGATGTCAGATAAGAGTATTTAGTCACTTCCAGTAGGAAGGAAGTGAAGAAAGCATATGGTAAAGATGAAAGTAGATAACACAGCCCTTACAACCCTGAGGAGAGCTGCTGAAGGAAAAACAAATCTTGTTCTCTATGTGGTCATAGGAAGGAGAATTCTGGAATTTTTTGTTACCTTCCCAAGAATGTAATAACGTGAGAGATCTAGACATGTACATTTTTTTTACGTAAGTGGTTCTGTAAATCTTACTCAAAACAATTCTTCATTTTTCCACCAGTGGCTTAAACCTTTGAAAAGGGTTATAGGAGGTAATGGAAATTGTCTTGCAACAGATGATTCTTGCATTAACAGCTCATCTAACAGGTGGTGATACCTCTCATTTTCTTGCTACTAACTGAATAACAAATATATGCAAATTGTATTTAAGCACTTCATCCAGTTACTTTATTTGTGATGTTTTAAGCTTCTTCAGGATCGAGTGAAAGCCCTGCTGTAAATGGAGGAAGCTGGAATGAGAAGTCTGTAAAAATCTCCCAGATCAGTGCAGGTGATGAGAAATGGGCATCTGTTTCATCAGCTACAACTGGGAAGAGGAAGACTGAGACATCTGCGTGGGGTCAGGATTCTGGAGATGCTAATGGAAATGGAAAGGATTGGGGTGTGTCCCTAGTGGGCAGGACGTGGAGAGAGCGTCCTTTGTTCCACGGCATTAGTAAGTTGCTCTATGAGAGTGTTCTTGGATCTCTTGAATGTAAAAATGTAACCACGTTTGGCTGTGAGCCTTTTAAGTAGTTTCAGTGCATTTAAACTATTAGGAATTCAAGCCATCTTCTGTTTGATAATAAAACTATTTTTATTGCCTTAAATACTTCTTTCCACAACTTTTCATTAAGTGTGGCTCTTCTGAGGTGTTTGAGGCTTGAGGTAAGAAATTTTCTGTGAAAAAAAATAACTTATGCTTCTTAAAAGCCTTTCCCTGTTGATATTAATCTAGAAAATAGTTTTCTACTGAATTTTTTTCTTTATTTCAATTTTTTTTATACACACATGCATATTATAATGTCTGTGTTAGTATGGTGGTTTTGCTTTAGTTTCATGTTGGTGTTCAACAGCAGCCAGTCCATTATTCCCAAATCTACAACATTTGAGGTGTGTGAAAGCAGCCCTTACAAATCTGGCTCAATTCTGCCAACTGTAACTGAGGGGGGTGCAAATTTTAGAGCCTCTCTGCATTGGCTGTCCCTTTGAAACGCTCAATGGGTGAAAGAACTCTGTAGGTCAGTGGTCACCAGCTGGCTGATCCCGATCAGCCAGTCGATCAGGGAGCCCCTGGCAGTCCATCTCTGACGCAGATCAACTGTCAGAGGCTCCACAATTGGGAGCGGCAGGATGTATGAGCGGCCGGCCAGGGCCCCCCTCACCCCTGCCCTCACTCCCTCCCTCACGGTGGGGTCTTTGATCTGTCCGTCTCCCCCCCACACACACACGGACTGGCTTGTGGGGGGGGGGGGGGGGGGCAAAAAAAAAAACCCCCCCGGGGGGGGGGGGGGGGGGGCAAAAAAAAAAACCCCCCCGGGGGGGGGGGGGGGGGGGCAAAAAAAAAAACCCCCCCGGGGGGGGGGGGGGGGGGGCAAAAAAAAAAACCCCCCCGGGGGGGGGGGGGGGGGGGCAGTAGATCCTGGATTGTCCTTTTACTTCAAAAAGTGATCTTCACCTTAAAAAGGTTGGAGATCACTGCTTTAGGTAATGATAGGCTGTATATAGTTGGAATTTCTTTACTGATTCTCTTTCTACATCTCTAGGTAACTAGCCAGTGGCCTGCAACATAGCAAAATGGAAAAATGAAAGTTTTTATTACACTTTTTCTTCTAGCTGCATGGAATGTGGATGGAAGGATCAATACCTCTGAACAAAATTCTGCTTCTTTCAGTTCCTTGGGACTAGCTCCTGCAGTTTCTGGTATGTTTAACTTCCCAAATTTAGGGGAAAAAACTTTGAAAAAGGAATTTGAACTAGACGTACTTTTACAATGCAGCAGTGTTCTATATAAGAATTGTAGCTATCAAGGCTAAGTTTTGGAAAATAATTTGTCAATCATTTTGTCAACCTGCAATTAGTTTTGATATATTAAGCATTCTGGCTATATCCACACAAGCACAGATGTTTGGTTCCCCGGGGACAAGTAGCGGCAGTGCACCTTGCGCCACTGCTATTTGTCCTGGGGAAAGCCCATGCCACACGTGCTTTGGTGCGCAGCAGATTACCCCAGATGGGGTAGGGGAGTGCGGGACCAGCACTAGGGGGCTGCAGCAGCAGCAATTCTGCCACACAGAGCCTGGCCAGCACCCTCTGAGTCCAGGTTACCTTTTCAAATGGATAAAAAAGGTAAATTAAATAAGAGGTGGTAAATTTGTCTTTTTCAGTTCTCCTTTTCTTCTTGGTATTCAGGAAAAGTGACCTTCGCGGTGAAGAACATTCAGTCATTTCTTTATCTCAGGCTGCACATATGAAGCTTGCTGTCCAAGGAAGGATATTCACTCTTTAAACTTTTGGCACCTGACCAAGGAACATTAAAATACAATTACCTAAAAATGCTATATATGAAAAATACCAAATGCTGTGTCTTTAGTTTTTTGAGTGAGCCTGGGAAAGTATTAAAACCATTGAAACTTTAACCCTAAATAAAATGAGGTTAAAATTGCAGTGATTTAGCTAACTTGTATGTTTGCAGGAACATGCAGACACAAGTTACTGTTACAGCATAACAGCTGATGTGTGTTCCCAGGTGATAGAGACAGGATTCCTGTACCAATAAACCCCTTGGAAACATGGGTCTTGGTCTTCTTTCATTCTTACCCCACACTTTTATTTGTATTTTTAAATGAGAGAACTCAGCAACACAATACCAAAGTTTTAAAAAAAGTTGCATGTTTTTATGTATAAAAAAAAACGTGAGATTTCTTGCCCTTTAGGATCCAGCAGTGAACCAGTTTCTCAGCCTGGTACTTCTGACTTCCAGTGGGATTTAAGCCACAGCCAGCCCCCTATTGATGATGAATGGTCCGGGTTAAGTATGTTCCTAATTTTTTTTGTGTGTGTGGGGAGGGGTAACTTTTTTTTAATTACTCAGCATAGCTGTGGATTAGCTTGTTTTCTGGTTTTTATGTGATCATTTTTGCTTTAGATAGCTAATTTTTTTAACTTCTGGGACATTTGTATACTTAAAGGTGATGTTTGATACTAGGAAATAATATGTCTAGAACTCTTACTTTTATATAATATTTTTTTAACTTTTTTAAAGATAACTACTTAGGGGAATTTACCTAGTTCAGATATGGTATTTAAGGGGGAAAATAATAAAGCCCCTGCCCATCTACAAATGTCCCGTTTCATCTGGCTTTTGGTAGAAAGTCTTGCTTGCTCCCCTAGTAAGCCGAATAGTTTTTAATTTACAGAGCGTTTATATTCCAGTATATGAAATGTATGAAAAGCCTTTCTATTCCAGTTGTTTGTATTCATACCACACTGCAAACTTTAAGTATAGCAAGACATTTGTAGTCAGCCTAGTTTGTTAAATGCCTAACATGTAGTGATTGTGAGACAAGTTTAAACGCTAGGAGCGCACCAGTAAAATTTTCTAGGCCCCTGCCAATAGGTGATGATTAACCAACCAGCTTGCTGCAAGGGCAGCATTGGACCCCTGATAAACCAGATGGGACAATTGACAACAGACGCCCAGGAAAACGCCAGCCTATTAAATGGGTACGTTGTGCCAGTCTTTCATCAGTCCCATGGGACACCCATGCCCATTACGGGTGAGGGAGATTCCCTGCCCTCCATCAATGCTGACCTTGTGAAGGAACACCTTGAGAGGCTGGACACCTTCAAGTCAGCTGGCCCTCACAATCTACACCCCAGGGTACTCAAGGAGCTGGCTAGCATCATAGCCCAGCCCCTGGCATGGATCTTCGAGAACTCCTGACACTCTGAAGTGCCCGAAGATTGGAAGATGGTCAGTGTGGTACCCATCTTCAAGAAAGGGAGGAAAGTGGATCTCGCAAACTACAGGACCATCAGCCTGACCTCTATCCTGGGCAAAGTCTTGGAAAAGATTATCAAAGAGGCCATCCTTAACAGACTAGTTGATGGCAATATCCTGAGGGATACCCAGCATGGGTTTGTTGCAGGTAGGTCTTCCTTGACCAATATCACTTTCTTCTGCGATCAGGTGACCTGTCACTTGGACAAGGGAAAGGAGATTGGTGTCTTATATCTTGACTTAAAAAAAAAAAAAAAAAGCCTTTGATCTGGTATCCCGTGATCACCTCTTGGTGAAACTGGCCAGCTGCAGCCTCGGGTCTACCACGATCTGCTGGCTGGGGAATTGGCCCCATGGTCGGACCTAAAGGGTGGTGGTTGACGGAAGTCAATCGTCATGGTGCCCTGTGACCAGTGGGGTCCCCCAAGGCTCTGTCCTTGGACCCATATTGTTCAACATCTTCATTAATGATGTGGACATTGGAGTCAGAAGGGACTGGCCAAGTTCGCCGACGATACCAAACTTTGGAGTAAAGCATCCACACCTAAGGACAGGAGGGCGATCCAGGCTGACCTTGATAGGCTCAGCAAATGGGCAGATGAGAACCTGATGGTGTTTAACACTGAAAAATGCAAGGTTCTCCACCTTGGGGAACAAAACCCTGCAGTATGCTTATAGGCTCGGCAGTGCTACACTGGATAGCACTACGAATTAAAAGGACTTGGGGGTCGTCACTGACCACAAGATGAACGTGAGCCTTCAATGTGATGCTGTAGCTAGTAAAGCGAGCAAAACGCTGGCTTGCATC